ACACATGGCACAGCATGATCGAGTGATCACAAAGGATGACTGGCAGTGAAGCCTTAGGAAATCTGTATCCTGCTTTGCTCATACTTCCGTGTATGAGGTAAAGTAATTAATCTATCTTCCTCGTGCTCCATTATGCACTTGTGTAAAATGGAGATGTCATTATGCATTCACTTCATGAGGCTATTGTGAAATTTAAAAAATAATTGATCTTGCAGTGTGACAAGGATTCCCTGCCATCCCAGTTTAACTCCTGTGTTTGATCCCCTTTAGATTGTGCAGAATTGTGAATGTTGGTCAGTGCAAAACTACTTCAGGAATTTGTATAAAAAAGCTCCCTTCTCATGGGAAACTGTTAATATTTATTCTTACCTAAAAAGTAATTCTTCCAAGGTATAACTGATTTTTAAAATGTAAAACTAGCAGTTATAGCATTTTCAGTTGCTTTATTTATTTTCAAAGCTCAGGCTTTTTACATGATAGTTCAACATCAGCATGATCATGTGGAATATATATTCTCTGTCTTACTGCTCTGCCTCCCCATCTGTTTTCACTTCAGCTCCTCTGATCTGCCCTGGTGTTTGAGTGTGGCTGTGATTGTGCTGTGATGGCTCAACAAATAGATTGTATCAGAACAATAGAAATAAAAAAGACACATAGTGATATGAGAGCTGGAGCTTGGTGGTAGAGGGAAAATTCCATTAAATGGCATTGCTGCAGAAATGAAAAAGAACTTGTTTACTTGTAGGAAATAGCTCCTATCTCTGGGAGTGTCCCACATAAAGCTAAATTGTATACCCTCAGCTGAAGTGTGCTACAACTGTGCTAGATTTTCACTGATTCGCAGCAGAACCACATGGCTACACCCTGGCTTCATCAGAGTCATTTGGTGAAGTGCAACACGAAATTGTTTAGATTGAAGTAAAATGTTAAGGAGATTGAGAAATATCTAATTAAAAACAGACTGGGACAGCAAAGAAATAATTGAAAGAGAACTCCTTGTGAGAAGAACACATTGGCTATGAGTTTCTTGAGGAAGGCTCTAGTGATCTTTGCAGATGATCAAAATGTCTGTGTAGTTCAGAAAGAAACATGTATCCTCCTGATGTACCCTGTTGGAAGAAAAGAAAGTATGACTGACTGCAGTGGTAGTTATTTATGTGATCCAGTAGTAGTTCTAGTGCTTTGTGGTATGGCCAGTGATTTGTGCAGGACAGCACTGAGTCACAACTTCTGGCTACTCTGCCTCAGCCACATCTTGCCATATGAATTGAAGCAGCCAGTTAACCATGCTTATTTTCCCTTCTGTGTCAAATGGCATCTTCTAATTCCTGTTTTCAGAGAAAATGTGGGTTTATATGTTCTGCCATCCAAATTTGAAAGACACTCATTTATAAAAGGTCTGCCTTCCACTAATGTTGTAATCCTCATTTTCAAGAAAATCGATAGCGTAGGGAATTTGTGTTGTATATTTTTAAGTGCTTGTACAGATTGCCTTATGAACAGGTTGTCCAATTGAGCTTCTGATGTTTGCTGTCTAAATTATCTAGGAACATTCAAAAGGTGCATCTACATAGAGCTTACTGCACATAGTATATTTGCATTGTGTAGTGGCACATAATAATGTTTATATAACTTCTGGAAATACTAGATTAATAAAATACCTGTGTCTTTTAAAATGAGAGATCATTATTGCTGGGGGTTTTGTTAACAGTAATATGTTCAGTTAGTTTCCTCTATGACTAAACAAGTGTTACTCTGTGTCTCATGTCTTCCTTTCTTGAGAAGCAGCCAGGCGTGGGAGTAAACACACGTAGAAAACCCCCATGTAAGTTCTGTGACCCCCTGTAGACCACCCCTCTTAAGTACCCAAGCCTAAAATGAGATGAAATGCTCTTTAGTAAAGTTGTGTCAGGCAAGTGGGTGTGCAGGACAAAACTATTTTTTGATCTTATGAAAACAAAAATAATTTCTATCTTCTGTGTTTTAGTTGTGTAAGTAAGGTTAATCTCTGTGGTAAGTGCAGAAGGGACAGTGTGTTGTTACGCAAGCAGGAGTTTCAAAGTTTGTTGATGTTGAGTCCCTTTCATTTTGTTATGAATTAAGCCTAGTTTGAGTTTTTCCATGGTAAAACTGCAGCTAATTTATACCAACCTCTCAGTGTTTCCCCAGAAGCACTTCACACTAGAGAGCCTCATATGCTATTAATATGTAGGATAAGAAAGTCCACATGATTAACAGGTGCAAAGTGCCACTAGTTATAACCTGCAGAAAGAAGGACTTAAGGGAGCTGGATCTAAGACAGTCAGGTGTTTTATAAACTTGGGAATGACCCCCACTGACCAATCTGCTTCTGGAAATCCAGTTGTCATTTTGTTGAAACCTAAGTGTAATTCAAAGTGTTTCCATGTTTTTATTGGGGGTAAACTCTAGCAGTTTAAACACTGGCAAATCTTTATTGACTTTCAATACCAGCAGTGCAGTTATGTTCCTGACCCTCCTTTCACTCATAGTCTGTTTTTAGGACTTTTTTTTTGTGTTGTGCCATCAGGATGATCTTGATGTCAAGATTTTTTATTTTTGACTGTGTGGAGTCAGTTTCTGAAGCATTCTTTGAAAACACTTTGAACTTTGTTTTTTCCACATGAGTTCTGCTAACCTTCCCTTAATATATCAAAACATTAGGCAAAAAGAAGTATTTTCATTTGGAAATTGTTAGGGGTTGCTTAAGTTACTCATGGTTGATATAATAGAATCATAGAATTTTAGGGGTTGGAATGGACCTTATAGATCATCTAGCCCCAACCCTCCCTGCCATGGGCAGGGACACCTCCCCACTCGATCAGGTTGCTTAAGGCCTCATCCAGCCTGGCTTTGAACACTACCAGGGTTGGGGCATCTACTACCTCCCTGGGCAACCTGTGCCAGTGTCTCACTTCTTCGCTGTTGACTTCTGTACGTGAAAATGTATGTGGATGCAGTAGGTAAATTCCTAACTTTTATTAGCTTTAATGAACCCAGCTTAACCAACTTAATTCTCCTTTGGTATTTGTATCCCAATTATTTGCAAGGGTCAGTGCATGAGAACCAGAAAATAAAAAGTGACTGTAAACAAGTAAAATCGATGAGGCAGTTTTTACTGCCCAGGTGAGATATTCCAAAAAGAAATGTCAATATTGAAAAACTGAATTTTTAATAACCTCCTAATCTAATAATCAAATAAATTATGTGACATAGATGAGAAGATATGTTACTACATATTATGCTTACTGTGAAAGCCTTCCAGTAACATACAAATGGTGGCTTTTGTTTATATCTGCCAATTCTGTGTTCCATGAGGAATTCTGAAACTTATCTCCAAAGATACAGGGCACACAAAGAGAATGCTGGTTTTATTTTGGCCTGCTGTTTTATGGGCAGAAATTACTGTGTGTGGTCTTCTCCTGCTCACATCATGCCTGTTTGTTTTAACCGAGGAAAAGTAGATTGTATGCACACATAGCCAATATTCAGTGTGACCTCCTGGAGGCAGGAAGTCAGTTCCCATAGTTAGGCTCTTGTACATTGTGTTAGCACTGAGACTCTATGTCACTATGAAAACAGAGCCTTCAGACCCTCAGAGTCAATGCTGGCAACAGCAGCTTAGAGGTCAGCAGTTAAAATTAATGTGGAAAATCTTCTGGCCTCCTCTCCCAGATCCTCAGGTCCAAATTCATGGCATACTTAATTTGAGCCACGTGCAGGTCGTTTGTTGTGAAGGGCAGTCCCACAGTTCCTGTCCTCACCACCACCAGCGATGTGTTCCCGTCAGTCATTGCCTTTGACTTGAGTCTCTCTGTTGAGTTGCTGCAAGCTCAACCCTACGAAGAAAAAAAAGTCTTTTCTTGGGTCAGTGGGCTCGTGGGTAGTTGGGGCATTGTTAGATCTGACACAAGAGAAGTCATGAGGATGTGCAGCTTGAGAGAGGATTGAGTGGAACCACCACTTTCCCCTGGTACTTGCAGGTACATCAAACTAAATGCATTGTGAAATTGTGCACAAGAGTTAGAAGAACAATTCTTTATAGCCCCTGAAGCAAAAGCTAATGATCTCAAATAATGATAAGGATCACAAATAGGAGGAAAGGAGGGGAAAGGGCAAGAGAGGCAATTTGAGGTATTGCAGGGAGAAAAGGGAAGAGGGAAGTAGCTAGAAAAGCAGGAAGAGAGATTAAAGAAAAATCGGGAGATTGTACGTTGACAAATAGCGTCAGCAAATGCAGGTACAAATTTGGAAACACCTTTCTCTGGTGGCTGAGCATACTGTCCTTGCCCTTCAAGCATGATGGATGTTTCAGTCTCAAAAAACCCCTGAAATGCCCTTGCTTTGTGAGCAGTCCACTGTAATAACCTGGATTCTGAAAGCCAGAACGTTTGCCCTCCATGAGCCATGTCCAAGCAGAGCAGGGAGGGAAAGCTCCAGCAGGAGTGCCAGTCCTGAGGAGCATTTACAGCGGAGCAGGCACAGCCCTAAGAGGCCGGTGAGAAGGCCCTAGTGGTGACTTTACCACCTCAGGATGTTGGTTCACAAGTGGGTGGCAGGACTGGCTGTGATTTTCCCGGATCCACGGCTTGCCCCAGGAATATCTACACATCTGTTTTTATTTAAGCTGCATTTGCTGTTATAAAACAAGACATGTAGAAATATTTGCAAGGGAAATATTTTTAAACACTTCTCTCCATTATATGTATATGATGGCAAAGAGCTGGGAAAGGTTTATAATAGCAATGTATTTTCTGTGTGGTTGAGAGCAGCTTCCTACAATGGACTGGTTTGTTGTTTCTTTTTTGCTTTGTCATTAGGGACTTGATTTCATTATCTCCTTCATCCGTATTGCAGTTAAGAACTGTAGGAAATGAGGGTGCTCTGGAAATCCCACTAGCTGAGACATACATGTGGAAGTGTTCCTTGTCAGTCTGTTTTTACAGCTGAGAAAACCTTTGGGTTTGCTTTGTTTTCTGCAGCTATTTGATGCTGTCAACTGCCTGGCGAAAGAGAACGTCCGGCTGCTTGTGCTGGGCCGCAAACATATGCTGATTAACTCTTTGAATTGGAAAAGAGAGATTATGAAGGAGATGCAGAGTAAGGCAGACTTCTTCTTTGCTGAAAATATGTAAGTTGAAGAAAATTGTATCATGGAGATCAACACCTGATTTATGTGCATTTTGCTGTAGTTTTTAGTGCTGTTACTGGTATCTCTAGCTCTGTGTGTGTGAAAGAGAAATATGTCCCTTGCTATACTTGCTTCAAAAAACCATATATATTAAAACTTGCATTATTGAAGAATTTTATCACTTAAACTCATATTGACAGGTACATGGTTCATTAGGATTTATGGCTGTTACAAACACTGCCAAGAGCACAGTGGCCTGAACTTAGAGAATTTCTGATAGCATCAGTGTGCAGTTGTGGTCTGCTGCTGTTTGGGGGTGTACTGATGAGTTTTAGCAATTCTTTTCCACATAGCACTATGTTAAACTCTGCGGCAAAAGGTTGTGTTATCAGATTGTGATAAGAGGGGAGAATGCTCTGTATAGCATGCAATTAATTTTTATTGTACTGTAGCTTTTGGTGCCCCATGGTATTATTTTAACAGGGAACTAGAGTAGTGATGGGAATTTTCAGTGTTGCTGACTGGATCAGCATTTGAATCATTTCCTGCAGCCTCTTACTGCCTTGTGGATGACGTCTGTCCTTTCCATTTGTTTTGTTAAGCTCTGAAGATGATGCCTTCTTGTTATATGCCACTCTGCGATCGGGCAAGCATTGCAAGTTTGTTACTAGAGATTTCCTCCGGGATCACAAGGCTTGTCTTTCCGACAGTCTGACGCGGCATCTGTTCCGCAAGTGGCAGCGTGGACACCAGATAGCGTTTGCCCCTTCTGCAGAAGGAAAGCGTGTAAATTTTCTGGTAAGTTTTCTGCTTCAATCCGAAAACACTCAGAGCATATTCATTGAAGATATGCTATTTCAAACTCTGGAAGCCAAAACAGTCTTGTTGGAGTCTAAGAAATGGATTTGTCCCAATCAGCTCAAAACTCTCCATGTATACTGAAAATTCCCTGTGTTCACAAAGCATGCCACAAACAGGAAAACTCCCAGAAAGCCAAGGAATGCTGCCTGAACGATTGAAATGTAAATGTAAACACAACTTTGTGGATACAAATCTCTCCATTGCTATAAAATCTAAGTGACAATGTTTTCGTTTTTAAACTTTGAAATAACTTATTCTCCACTGTATCAATACTACAAAGTACTATGCTTCTAATTGTACAACAAAATTTCTTTCATCTTTATTTCTAAAAAGCAGGAAAATACAGATATTTCAGTATTCACTGTAATATTAACCTAACATATGTATAAAGTTTCATGAGAGAAAGCCCAGAACAGTCAGGTTTATAGTCAGTATTGCAGTCTTCCAAGCATAATACCAAGTTACAACAGAGCACTACTGTTATTGTCTAGAAGACATGGATCCTTGTGAGCCATGGACAGTACATTAACAGGAATGCAGCTGTTCTAAGATTTTTCTAGGGAAAAATCCATCATGTGACATTCTATGTGCAGCTTGTTTTACTGATCTGTCTGCATTGCTATTGCCTACTTAAAGCAACAGTGCACCTATGCAGACTAATTTTCTTCCTTCTCTGGTTAAAACTGTAAAATAGGATTCATAATTACAGAAACAGAGGCTTGTAAGAATGCGAGCCTTTTGTTCCATGTTTCCATATACCCATTTATTTTTGGGGAACCAAATAATGAATGTGGGATTACCTGAGTAACATCGTTTTGGCTACACCTTCTTTCTTTCTTTGGTACAGAGGGGCTAGTAATTTTCACATCTTAGTTCCCATACAAGTGATTCGGATGACTGATATTGCCAGTCATAGCTGTGCTCTAGGTTATTCTGGAAGCTGCCGTGGCAAAGTGGGCTTCCAAGGCTATACTTACAGAGTGATGGTGTGTTCTGAGAACCATAACTGCCAACCAATTATGTTTCTTTATATTTGTACTATATATGTTGATTTAGTATTGTTTATTCTATTTGTTTGACTAGATGCTTCTGAAAATGTTAGTGACAAACCCTCTTCTTACCTCTCCTTGGGACAGAGCAAGTTAGTTCTGTAAAGAGATACACTGGAAGAATGAATAAAAGATGCTATTAATGTCATTAAATCCTATCAGTTCAAGCCTATAAACTCCACATCCTGAGTTAATTCCCATATGATTTAATTTAACAGAAAACCAAATGTTATTTCTAGAAATAGAGTGTATTATGCTCAAATCATTATAATCTGGTGCTGATTGAAGACAGAATTTTAGCCATTTATAATGATTCCTAATTTGCTTGGTGTAAGGAAATAAAATAAGAGTTGTTAAAAGAGATGAAACTATGGAGATTTCGAAGGTAAGTGTTGGAAGTGACAGCTACCTGTGATTGGTATTGTAGTAATACATTGTATGAAACCTAAAGCCTGTTTTTCTCTCTCTGCCCACAGCCTGCTTCCCGCTACGACTGTGTGGTGCAGACTACAGGTGACACGTGGCATATCCCCTACAAAGATGTTTTTGAGGAAAAGTACTCGTACCAAATACCAAGAAAATGGCTCTGCATTCAGCAGAAATGCTGAACTATGTCGTTGCACACACTGAAGCTGCTGCTTTTTTTTTTTCAATCATTGTTGCTGATTCAGAGAACTCAGTAATACAATTGATATGTGAGGCCTGATACTAAAGAAAATTCAGTGACTGCATTTCACCAAAATCATTCCTGCAGTAAATCTGTTAACTGGTCCAGTGGGGACAAATTAGATTCATTATTTCCATCTTTACAGGAAATTTCTGTGATTTGAATTAAAACTTGATTTTTCCTCTTGGAATTTCAGTTTGGGTTTTTTTTATCTTTTTTTTTTTATCAAGCTTTTCATCTATACTGAAATTCATAATCTCTCTACCTCAAATAAATTAAGCAGGACTTGCAAAGTACCTTTACAATTTGTGGGGCTGACCTTGCAGCAGTGTTGCACAATGTCTGCCTCGAATGAATGAAGCTAAGGGGGACAAATGATATGTTTACCATTTGCCAGATGCACATAGACCTAATACTTCCTCACACTAATTAGGATTCATTTGATCACGTGGAATGCAAGAGATTTGTTGTAGCAACATATATTAATATTTTGTTTGGAAGAATAAAGAAACAGCCAGTGGAATATTTTGTGGCTCTTTCACACTCTTAAACTTGCTGTTTCTGACAGCATTTCACGTCACTCTAATAGTTTGTGTATGAAAATGCACAAATTTTTTAAACAGAAATTGGTAACTAGAAATTTTTAAAGACAATAATAGACAAAACTGATTTTTATACAGACATTTCTATAAAATGTATCCCCAGTTATAAAGCAAGAGAAGTAGTATAAATTATAGGGAAAATGTTCTAAGTTATTATTTGTAAGTGTGTATATGGTAAAGGTGTTTCTTTATTCCACTTATAACTTTAATGAAAACACTTCTCCCCCCAAAACATATAAATCCCACATAAATCTCAGGTGAAATGTGGTTTTGTCACATTTGTCTTATACACTGAAAAATCCTCTGTTTGAAACTGAGATGAACCATGCAGATTTTTTTGTACAGTACTTGCAGCTCTGAGCTCTTGCAGTGCCACATGACAAGCTCCCTCAGTACTCTTAGCATTCGAACATGTTCCCCGCTATTTTTTTCCATGACAGGAAGCAATCCTGACACTTGTTCTACTTCTGGTATCAGTTTTAAACCAGCAGGTGTGATTTGCATACAGTCATGTGCTTCAGGTACTGTGCAGAAAGTGCAGAGAAGCTGAGTGCCTCTTAAGTAACGTAGAACCTTGGGTTAAGTTCATTGTATTGTTGGTAGCATTCTTCACGGGCCCTTTTCTAACAGAACATGACAGCTCCCATGGAGTCCACCAGGGAAAGCAGAGAGATTGGATCTAGTTCTCTCATTTCTCAATAATTTAATTTGTCAGAAGATTGTGTTTGCAATTCTGCAAGTTGGAGAACTGGCACATCTCCTTGATGCGTCTCTTCCTTTTCAGGATTGCTTAGTGAGCTGCTGTTGCTGTGTATGGGGCTCCCTTACCTGTGTATGAAGTTCTGCAGCAGCATAAGCTGGTGTCAGTCAGTGCAGTTACAGTCCTCGTTTGGTACTAGCTCTGATGTTTGTGCAGCCCAAAGCAATTCAGAGCTGGGTCAGCTGAGTGCAAACCCAAACTTTGTTTGCACTAGGTCAAAATTGGCCTTGTTGCACTGAACTATCACCATTGCACAAGGACTGGTACCTGTGTGGGAGAGGGGCTGAAATGTCAGGCTGCAGAAGGTGGATCCCTGCAGCTCTGCCTTAGGTCAGCTTCAGCTGACCAGGAACTGCACCTTCAGGTTATCCATTTCCTTGCCGACATGTTCATCTGTTGAAGTTTGTATTTTACCTCACCCTGGTGACATGCATAGGTTCAACATCTAACTGGAATAAATGCATCCTCTACTTCCTTTTGGCCGAGGACATGCCCCTAATCAATCACTTGGGTTTCACCTCAAAAACTGTTCTTGCAGAGATACCATAATACCTTCTAAATAATAACACTCACTAAATACACACTAGTATATTTAGGGGATGATGGAGCATAATCTGCAATTTAAACAGGAAGTTGTCACAATATCAGTGTCAGCTTTGTGACTTTTTTTCCCTGTGTTTGCTGCTAATACATCTTTCTGTAGATCCCTACAGGGAATTAGTGGCCTTCTCTGGAATCAGAGGAAATATTAGTGATCAACCTACAGACTTTTTCAGTTGTATACCTCCTGCTACACAGATGCACAGTCTCCAGAGGCTGTTCTGACTGAGGTTAATTATTTGCACTTGATCTAAGGTATTTGTGAAGTTAGATTTCTTTTGTGTTGCTGTAAGCCTTCAAATTTCAGATTACTGGAACAGCATTTTGAGATAGCAATAAATATGAGGATTTGCTTCTGAGTATGCAAAAGGAATTCTGAGGGTTTCATTGGCAATAAAGGTGAGAGCCAAATGGCAGCATACAGACACCTACCAGCAGATCTGTCTGGCATCTACTGCTGTTTGTACAGATGTACAGTAAAAATCCAAGGCCATTTATTAGATACATGGTTTCATGCTGAATGCCAGAAGGCAAGTCCTCCAGACATTACTGCAATTGTTACCCCCCAAAAGACACTTGGCTGCCATTTCATAGCACACTGAGTGGGGAGAACAGGAATGGGAAGGAAGTAACAAGCTTCGCCTGCTGCGTGCCATGGACACAGACATATTGGCAAGATAGAGGAAGACTGAACTGATTCAGCCTGCAACTATAGTTACTTTGTGAAAAGCTTCATCTCCACAGTCACCCACTTAGCATGTTAAAAAGTTGTCAGTGAGAACAGTCTTCCTCAACACAGAATGTGACTCTCATATAGTTGATCAGAGGTGATGAACATCAAACCAAACCCATGTGAATGCTCTTCTGAAACAAGGCTTTGGAAGCTGACAAAACTGCTGCGTGGATGGAGAACTTCTGGAAGCTACATCCTGAAAGTGGCATAACTTCCACACCATCATGTCCATGGTATTGAGTAGCTATTACTCTTTCCTTGGTCTAATTGAAATACTGAATTCTTGATTCCAAACCTAAAGATTTTCTCAGTTACTGAATGCTTGATATTTACCTCCATTTTCTCATCCCCTTTTTCTCAAAGCAAAAAAAAAGGCATTAAACTCTAGTGTTACAGAATGGAAGAGCTTTGTACATGGAAGAACTGTAAGGGTAGGGGTCATTGGCTTGGAAAAACAGTAGTCTTAAGAGACATAAATGTCATTAGAATCACAAGTGTTCTGGAAGAGATGCCTGAGAATCAATTGCCTGCTGTGTCTTCCAGTACAAAATTGGTATCAAATGGTCCTGGCAGACAGAAGGCTCAGATAACAGCTGAGGTGTCAGACAAAACCACACAACATGTTGTTACACTGAACAACTCCTTGCCATAGCATGCCATGGATGAAATAAGATCACATGAGTTCAAGGGGAGACCTGCAAGGTCATGACAGGGAACCAGCAAGGGTTACTAAATAACCATGCTGTCTGTCTTGGGAAGTCCCTCCAGCTGGTTGAACGCTGGGAGAGGATTCAGGGAGTGTATCATTAAAGGCTCTCTCTAGTCTTAATACTTTTCCTTGGGCATCCCCTTTTGGCAGAACACTGGGCTGGACACACTGTGTCTGACCCAGCAGACAGGGTGTTACATGTGGATGTTCTCTGTGTTACACGTGGATGTTCTCTGAGTTTCAGTGCTTGCTTCACAGCTTTAAACACTTCATGTCTCCCCAGAGAGTGCTTCCCTAAGGAAAGGGACAACCTCTGCATCTTGTAATACCCAGCAAGACATCTCACTTCCCGTAGTATTAATAAGCAAGGAAGAGTACTTTGAAAAATTCAAGAACAAAGACTTTTGTGGTGTGCACAAAATGCACCTGTAATCTGCTATTTTGACAAAGAGTAAGCTCATCTAATAACAACAGTATTTTAATACAGAGGTGTGGATACCAAACACAGCTTTTTCAACTCTTTTAACGACCCACTTTAAAAAAAATGCCTTCCCACAAAGAGTAGGGGAAACCCAAAATGTTGAAAGACGGAAAAAGCACATATTCACGAGTTTAATTCGGGGAATTTCCCTTCGTACCGAACACTGGCAAAAAGCCTTTTAAACACCACATTACAGCGCACCGGCGGCAACAATTACTTATTATGAATATCCTCAACATCTTTTTTCGAGCTATTTGCTTCCAAATTGCGCTCACTGAGGACACGCGGTAACGCTTTGTTGGGAAGACGAGGAGCAGGTTTGTCGCCGGGCCGGACGCACCGCCCGCTCCGACGCGCGACCTCCCGGC